TATTATAGCCACCCAACTTCAATGGATTCTAGGTGGTGTACAAAGCCCCCCCCCAAAAAAAATCTATAAAAACAGATAAAACTTAAAACCACATAGACAGCCTGGATTAAAACAATCCAAAAACAACACAAAGCAAAAACAAAACAGCTCCCCCCAACAAACAATAATACATCAATCCCAGGCCTGTGACCAAAGCCAGGTTTTAAGAGCTTTCCAGAACCCCAGGAGAGAGGGCGCCATCCTTGTTTCTGGGGGGATGCTGTTCCAGAGGTTGAGGGACACGACAGAGGAGGCATGCTTCCTCATTCCTGCAAGATGACAACATTTAATAGAGGGGACCTGGACTCAACCACTCTGCCAGAATGTACTGGACGGACATAAATGATTGGAGATGCGCAGTCCCTTGGATATCCAGGCCACATGCCATACAGGATTTTATAGGTAATAACCAGCACCTTGAATTGGACCTGGAAGCCAGTGCAGCTTGCGTAGCAGTAGTGACACAGACAAGTTGACAAACGCCTATTACTGCTGGCACCGCTGCATTTTGAACCAGCTATCGTTTCTGGGTGGTTCTCAAGGGCAGCCCCATGTACAGTGCATTGCGATAATCCAGTCATGAGTAACTGTCTGAAGGGCCTGCCAACTGAGGAAAGGGCATAACTGGCGCACCAGGTGAACCTCTGCAAAGGGCCTCCTGGCCACAGTTGCCACCTGCTCTTCTAGCAGTAGCCGTGAGTCCAGGAGTTGCAGTATATATTAACTTTTCATTACAATCTATAGAAAAGTGGAAGTGCATAAAAGTATAAGCTAACTGTACATTTGCAAGGAAATGTCAATATGCTTTCGCAAAAAACAGGCAGGTGCTATATTTAAATAATAAATATTTTAATTGCTCTGAGAGCAATTCTTGAACTAAGAGGTAGAATAACACATGACAGAAAATAGTAACTGTTACCTGTCACAATGGCTGCACTTAAAGGGCTTTGCTCCCGTGTGCTTCCTGTAGTGCCGTGTGAGTTCATCACTTCGTGCAAAACGCCATTCGCACCCTTCCCATGAACACTTGTAAGGCTTCTCACCTGCAGAGGAGATTATAGAAGTCTTGTTAGTGTTGAGCAAAATCTGGTTCCAAGGGCATGCTCCCCACTCCAACCAACATTCCATAAGCCATTGAATGTGGTTGCCACAATGTAATGATTACTCGCTGAATAAAAACATCTGATTTGATTCCATTCTGAACCTGCAACTGATTATGATCCCTCCCTGTGCAAAGGTAAACTGAACCTAAAATGCTACATTCTAAAGCAGGGCATCCTATATTTCTATTTACAAACATACTACAGTACAGAAGTCCTTGCACCCAACTTTTTTTTAACTTATAATGTTTGGGACTGCAGACGTGGTAGCACATCACCCAGCAGCAAAGTCCTAAGTCAAATGTATTTTGGCATTCTTCACTGTCCACTCCTATGGCCTATATAAGTAAGTAACATATTATTGTTGGTTATTGTTGTTGTTATTTACTTACATTTATTGACTGCCCAACTCCAGTGGACTCATAATGCAAAGGTAGTAAATATATGCACGTACACTTGATTTTCATGGCATTTAGCTTGCTAAATTGGCATTTTATCAGATTTCTGATATGAACAGATGAGCATCAGTGTGTACAGAAACATCCTAAGCATTTTTTTTCTTGAGGTTTCTGCAGTTCTTGTTCGCAGTTCTGTACAAATGATTCACTATAGAGGAAACAATATTAATGCATGAAAATTGGTGAATGTTTAATGGTTGAAGTACAAATCAGGGCTGTGCAATGCCCCAAAGGGACTCTTTGCTTCAGTCGAAACTTTGACCCTTTTACTGGCATTTTTAGCATAAGCAAGTAGTCAGCAGAAGGGTAGTGTCTTTTAACCGAACTGGTCCCATCACTGATTTGTATGCTGATCCCCACTCTTTTGTAGGTCTTTATTCAGATATTCTTTGATCAATTAAAATTTTAGATCCATTTTAATCAAGTTTAGATCCATTTAAATCAATGTTTAGATCTGATTTTGGCCCTGAGACTACCTCGGTGGCCCAGAGGGATGATCTTTCTTAGGAAGGAGATAAATGAAATGGTCCCTGTCCATTCTCTTGGACTTCTCTACGGCTTTCAGGGTATCCTCCTGAGGAAATTGTCTACGTTAGGTCAGGCTGAGCTGCTTTGTAATGGTTGACTTATGGCCAGCTCCAAAAGATGGTGCTGGAGGATTTCTACTCAACCCCTTGATGTTCATAATGGGGGAGGAGTTCCACAAGGCTCCCATGCTACAGGACACCCACAGGGAACAGAAGAATGAGGTCCTTTGGAGATGCAGAGTGGTGTGTCATCAGCATGCAGATGTGCTCTCTCTCTTCTCAGGCATTCCAGGTAAGGAGGTGGAAGTGCTGAACCAGCACCTGGTTGCAGAGAGGGTTTGGATAAAAGCTAACAAACTGAAGCTCAGTCCAGGCAAGAGAGAAGTGCTATGTCTATCATTAGACACACACACATCCTCTGTAACACAATATACATTTTAGGTTGTACTACTCTACCTGGATAGATCTCATTGTAGTAATCCAGGTCCTGATAAACTTTTCTTTAGATTAATGCTACGTGCTATAGAAAACAGCCTAAAACCTTTAATACAAAATGCTGCATCCAGAACACTGGATAGAGTTGGATAATGAGAATATATTTTGCCAGTTTTATAATGTTACTGGCTCCCACCTCTTTTCCAGTTCCAGTTCAGGTTGCTAGGATTCACCTATAAAGCTCTAACAAACGCTTCTTTCTAGATATTGCCAGCCATGTCCTAAGATCAACCTCAGAGGTCCTCCTCTGGGTGCCTTCCCTTGCTGAGACACAGGAAACAGCCACTGGAGAGTGAGCTTTTCCCATAGCATCTCCCCAATGCTGGAAGTAAGGTATGCCTGGAGCCAGCATTATTGTCGCTCTGGCACCAAGCAAGTAAATGTATCGTCTTAGGATTGTTATTATACGTATATGTTAATTGTGATTGTACTGTACATGACGCCTAAGAACTTTAAACTACTCTTTGATTATTTTATTGTGCATTTTAATTACTGTGTTTATTTTATTGCATACTGAGAAAAAAATCCATATTAAAATCAAGCATACCAAATTCTACATATCCAATGCATAGCTCAGCAAACCAAAAGTATGTGGGTATTGCACTGAGGGGAGCAGGCTGCCAGGAAACGTACAGAGAAAATATATACCTGGTTCCTAATGCTAAACCATGGTTTAACAATGGTTTGTTAATCAGGACATTATCGCTGGATTCTTATTATACAGTTAAGCCATACAATATAATTTGCAAATTCCCTTTGCTGGGTTTACATACTATATTAAGCCCAAATAAATCAAGTCATATTATGGTGCAGATAACATTTTCACTGTCAGCTGCTTCGTAAGGTCTTCTAATATTCAGGGAAGGCAAAATAGTTTTAAAATACAGAATAACCCTCAAACTGACAAGCACATACAGGAAGAATACTTGATGACAGTTTCTTAGAATGCAAGTTTTTTAAAAACAACAAAAATGATTATTCTATAGTCAAATTTGAGTAGAAAACCTCTGAATCAACAATGTAGACAGATGAGAAAATAAAATGGAGCCAATCTCTAGTTAGGATCCCTCTATTATATTAATATGCCTCTTATTTAGAGTCATATTTAGGTCCAAGAAGGGGAGCAAAACATCTGCATAATAATTCACTAAACATTACTGACTGCAAGCTAGATTCTACTTCTACAAAGACAAGTGAAAATCTGACACCAGAAGATGGGCAGAATGGACAAAGGTGCCTTCCATATTTCAGCAACCAGAGCTTCTATTCTCAGCTCAAGGGGCATAAAATGAAAATGAAAACTGAAAAGTAAAGCAATGAAGTGACATCAGTTTATAGTAAAATGGACCAGGAGCAGCAAAGGCAACCCCCATTGATCCATCAGTCCAAATCACCACAGAGCTCACAAGACACAGAGGGAGAATGATTTCAAAATTTGGGGAAGTGCTAGGAGAAACCGAGCAGGAGGCAAAAGAAAAGAAGAAATATGAGCAAGGAGATTAATGTCACACAATCACACTTGCAGTTCACTAAGTTCAGTGATGCCAATGATCTGACTGAAACTTTATATGGGAACCTGAAAGTTTAGTTGGTGTTTAGATCTAGATGCTTTAAAATAGGACATTTAATTTTCTGATGACATTTCTGCACCCTTAGAGTTCCCGTGGTCTCAGAACAGCAATAGGCACATGGGTTGCTTTGCTTATTCAGACAATGGCCTTCAATATCAAGATACTCATATTCCAAGAGAGATATACCCCAAATTCTGTGCTCAAAAATACTATGCATATAAATTACAATAGATGCACATTTGCTCATGTTATTATACATCATTAATTATGACAACTTGTTTCCAAGAATCTGGTCAAAACATCAAATTATTTTATTTTATGCCGCCCAGAGTCACTTTGCGTGAGATGGGCGACTATATAAATTTAACAAATAAATAAACCTATTATTCCAAGTGTGCTAGAATGTTATACCAAGGAGAAAAAAAAAAGATGAAATAAACATCAATTGCTTTTTTGTTCTCTGATTGTTTCCAGTATCAATGACTTCTCACAGCCCTCTCTATTTAGGTTTTGATATTCCTATCTAGGTCATGGTCTGGTAAAATATACTGAAGCCAAAGTAAGATAAATAAAAGCCATGAGGAGTGAGTACAGGTGCCTTGACATGACCAAATGTCATCAACTAAAATTAGATTGTGTCTTGCTGAAAAAGAAATGGTTGATTGTTCTTTCAGGCTGATATCAGCACCTGTCTTAGCTACAGCTAGGTGAAGGAGATCACCATCATAATTCCTGGGAGAGTTAGGCTGATGGAATAGGCCAGCCAAATGCTATGTAAAAGACCTGGCTCTTCCTCACAGTTAAAGCTAACCGACTGAAGGTATGAAAATATCTTCCTGCTCTGTTACATGCCTCATTCAGTGAGTAGAGCATTGCGTAATCATCAAGGCCACATAATGCATTTTAACTACATTACTTCAAGAGGATAAAAAGTTACAGGAGGCACAAAGGAATTTATGTTTATTGATAATGTATTTCTAAGCTGCTGTAGATTAACAGATTTCAAAGTGGAACATGCTCAGTAAACAGGTTAACATAAACAACCTGTAATCAAATAATCATGAATGTGAAACGCTGCTGCTGCTGCTAAAGTTGTTAGGGTTCTGAAAGGCTTTCTCCCACTAATTGCCTGGTGAGCTGGGTATGTTTTACCTAGGGACATCCATGACGTGCATCATTCTTTACTAACTTTATTTTGCTTCTGATATATATCTTTATATTTCTATTTCTTCTATTGGAAAATAACGGAGTATACCATATGGGTGGGGCTGCTGGCTGAGCAATCTTTGGGAAATGATCTGATCCGTACATTCTGGACTAATGTGTATATTTGAATGTAGCTATCTACTGGATAAAAATGACATAGATCAGTAACAAAACAATCTGTGCATTCCTTCTTAAAAAGGGAAGAGCATGGTGCAAATACTGTTATTTAACTTGCTGTAACAGTCTGCACCTTTATTATACTGTTCCATCCCTACATTATTCCACCATATCCATTAGATGACATAATTCACAGAACCCCATAATTCTTTGTTTGGGAAACAAAAAGTAATTGCAGAGAGAATTTTATTTAATTCCCCTCCTTCATATTTTTCCCACATTCACTGTCTATTTGCTCAACCAGAGGATGGTGTAATTTAATGCAACCATGCACTTTACTTATTTATTTAACATATTCCTATGCTGCCGCAATCAAAATCAAAATTTCTTGGCAGCTCATACACTGCACAAAAAGTACAATATAAAACATCCAATACAAAAATAAAAACAAAGCAGCACTACAACAATCCAAAGAAGACAGAATAAAAAGAAGGCATCAACAAATCAAATCAAATCAAATCAAATCAAATCAAATCAAATCAAATCAAATCAAAGGCAGGCTCTCACGT